TGGCTTGGAAAAGCATTTTTCTCCTCACCATCAGCATCTGTCGGGTGCCACCTGGCTTTTGGGGCTCTGGAACCTCCCAAAGGGCTTTAGGACTGAAAGCAACCCCATCACACTGCACCGCAAGTCTGCTGGGGAGATGATGTTAGCCATCCTTGACTGCAGGAGCCTGCCAGGCTCTTTGTGGGTAATGAGAGCCCACTGGCAGAAGTACAAACCCTGGCTGTTGGGGAAGGAATCTGACTAGTGCTGCACAGCTGCAGCTTTCTTCCCACCAGTGGAAAAGTCACCATTTGTAGACCAAAGTCTTTTCTTAAGATTTAGCCTAAAATTTGCAATTTCTGTTGCCTAGTTTTCGCTTTGTAGGCTTTGCAGTGTGCCAGGGCCTTCTCACTGCATGACCAGGAGTCTGGGCAAAGCAGCCTGTGCTGCTGAGCCCTCCACCTCACCCCAAATTTGCACTAAAGTTACCACAGCTCTAATGTGAACACAGGGGATTTTTTTCCCCCGTCTTTGCTATCCACAGACACATGGAAGCCTGTATCACCCTCTTTAGAAGGAGCCCTGCTTTAGGCTCTATCAAGTTTTCACATCATCTCCACATCTTTTTCCTGGTTATCTTCTGGAGCTGTTGATGAGCGCACACCCAAAACTGCTCAGCAAAAGCCTCGAACTTCACCCCTGAGTGTTTCAAATTGCCAAACACCTTCCTGTTTGCTTTTGCTTAGGGTGGAGGCTCTGTTTATGTGTTGGTCCCTAGTTCAACTGCTTACACAAAAACCTTTTACGGCTGTTTTACGGGAAGGGGAGTGGCTGCAATCACCATTCCCCATGGGGCTGAAGACAGACCCTGATAGCATTAGTGAGGCTGGGACAACCTTGTCTTCCCATGCTGGGTCACTGGAAAGTCACCAAGACAGTTATAAAGGGGTAAAGAGGCAGGAAAACTGCTGGAAATCTCCTGCCTTGCAAAACATTGCTTTCCTCAGCTCCTGCAGCAGCCTTGTCTTGTCTGGTCCTTTCCTGCTAAACAGCTTCTCCCAGGCCACAGTTTTCTTACTGGATTGCCCAGTTGCTATACTCACCTGGCAGCTGGTCTCCTAACATCTGTTTTCAGTCCTGACGCAGGTTATTTCACTGTGCTTTCTGGAACCTTTCTTTTGCAGCTTGTCTGGATCCTGCTTTGAATTACAATTGTACTCTGCAGTCAAAATTCTGGAAGTGTTTGTTTCTTTTCTTCCAGTTCAGCTCAATTTCTGTTTGGGAACTACTTACAGCCTCTTGGCTGTCACTCATACTGAGAATGCTCCTTGGCCTGAACCCCAAGCCTTTATTTAGGTTTAGGTTTTGCTATACCACTTTTTATTTGCAAAGAGTGTACACTCTTCCCTGTACCTACAGCAATCAGAAGAAAACAGGCAGCTTTATCCCTAAGCCCCTGCTTATTCCATCTCTGAGGGCTCTGTTACACATCTGGGCAAGTTCATGGCAGAGAACCATTTTTGGATACATGGCAGTTACGTCCTTCTCGGAAGATCCTGGTCTACAAATGGTTGTAGGCTGGGTAGGGTGTCAGGAAAAGTGCCACATTTGCTTGCACATCTCCTTTGCTCTTCCAAAGCACCTGCTGGGGGACACAATACTGGTCTGGCATGTTATGACTCTCCTGAATTCTTGCTCGATCTCAGGGATGCACAAATGATTGCTTTTCTCACTCTCAGACCCTTTTCAGGCACACACACACAGAGCTCAGCTGCAAACACTGCCCTGCTCTAGGCCATTGGTTGTCAGTAGTTTCTGAGATTTCTCCAGGTCAGGTCTTGCTCAGGACATTACATGAGCTCAGTGTCTTGGATGGTGGCTTCTGTTGTGACTAAACAGTGTGGGAGTCTGAGTTGCTCCTGGTGGTCAGCCAGAACAGACCTCAGAGAGACATTGCACCTCTCAGCAGTCTCTGAGGTTTCTTTCACACCCACATTGCTGTGTCCAGCATGGGCCATCGTGTCCTCTAATCAGTACAGCAGTTCTGGAGTAACTTGGCATCTCTGACAGAAAACAGTGGTGGATTTATGTGCCTGTATTCATACAGTACCATATTCATACAGTGCCATATTAAAAATTTCAGCTGGGCCATCTCATAGTGGAAGTAAGACTTTTTCCAGGGGCATTAGCTATGGGATCTCCAGAGTTATAGCCACATTAATCATGAATTCCCCAAGAAACTGCCCTACCCCATTAAATACACTGGCATATTTTTTAATAAGGTCACCTGCCTTGTGTCAGCTGAGATGGAACAATTCCCACTTTCATTACCAGTTTGATCAATTTAATATCCAACCTGCTCAGGGACTAAGCTCTGGTGATGCTGCTGTGTGTACAGAATGAAATTTGTGGTGTTTTACATCCTATTTGATTGAGTCTTAAAGCACATCATGTCTGTTGATGCCCCCCTGCCTTACCTTTCTCTTGCAAAGGTGAGTTCTTACTCTCTTTTCCTCCAGCCAGTCCTACTGCTGCCACACCAGCATGGATAACCACATAGCCTTCTGGGGAGCAGGCTGAAGCTTCTATTTGCTCTCAATTTCTTCTGGGACCTGACTGCTTTCATGGGAACACCAGGAGTGTGGTCCTCTTCCTGCTGGCTGCCTGGTCTGGAGTTTCACATAGTCCACCCTGACTTCAATTGCACAGACACATGGGGGTTTTATCAGCTCTCTGTGACAAATCTGTTGCAGGCCACCACAGCGTCCCAGGCAGTCTGCCCCTGGTGTTCACCAGCCAGCACCTTCTGATCTGTGGTGATAAGCTTTGCTGTGGCAGCAGGACCTGCCTCAAGATGCAGGGCCAGCAGTTGCATTGGGGCTTGCACTGTGCTGTCCCTTTTACACAGCTTTTGCAAAAGATACAGTCCTTTAGACTCCTCTTTTGCAGGTACTCACCATAGAATTATATATTCAAAGAATAGGTTGGAAAACACCTCCAAGATCATTGAGTCCAATCTTTGACCAAACACCACCACGCCAACTAAACCATAGCCCTAAGTGCCACATCCAGTCAGTTCTTGAACACTTTAGAGATGATGACTCCACCGCTTCCCTGGACAGCCTATTCCAATGCTTTGCCACCTCTTCAGGGGAAAAATTAATTCTTCCTGATCTTCAACCTGAACCTACCCTATCTAAGTTAAGATAATTTCCCCTTGAGCTGTCACTTGTTAACTGGGAGAAGAGGTCAACCTCCACCTGACTGCAGCTTCCTTTCAGGTAGTTGTAAAGAGTGATAGAGTCACCCCAGGTGCTCCTTTTCCCCAGGCTAAGCATCCCCAGATCCCTCAGCTGCTCCTCATGTGACTCTCTAATCTCCACTGCCCTTGTCTGGACAAGCTCCAGCCCCTCAGTGTCTTCCTTGTGGTGAAGGGCCCACAGCTGAACGCAGGATTCCAGGTGTGGCCTCACCAGTGCTCAGTCCTGCAGGACAATCACTGCCCTGCTCCTGCTGGCCACACTGTCCCTGATATAGGCCAGGATGTCACTTGCCTTCCTGCCCACCTGGGCACATGCTGGCTCATGCTCAGTCACTGTTGATCTGCATCCCCAGGTCCTTTTCCCGGGGGCAGCTTTCCAGCCTCTTCTGTTCCCCATCCTGTAGAGCTGCATGGGGCCATTGCCAAAGTGTGAGACCTGGCACCTGATTATGCTGAACTTCATTTCTTTGGCCTTGACCCTTCAGTCCAGCCTGTCCAGATCTTCTGCAAAGCCTTCCTGCCTTTCAGCAGATCAACACTGCTGCGGCACTAAGTGTCATCCATGAATTTGCTGAGGGTACACTCAATCCCCTCATCCAGGTCATGGATAAAGCTATTAAACAGAACTGTCCCCAGTACTGAGCTGGGGAAGACCCTGCCAGTGACAGGCCATCAAGGGGACATGGCACCATCCACCACCACAGTGTGTGACCATCCAGATAGATTTTAACCCAGCACAGAGTGCTCCTAAGCAAGCTGTGGGCTGCCGGCATGTCCAGAATTGTGCCAGAGAAGTCCAGGTAGATAACACCCACATCCTTTCCCTCATCCACCAGGCAGATCACCTGGTCATAAAAGGAGATCAGGCTGGTCCAGCTGGACCTGACTTTCATAAACCCAGGCTAGCTAGGCCTGATTCCCTCCCTGATTGTCCTGTGTGTGCCATGTGATTGCACCCAAGATGTTCTGTTCCATAACCTTTTCCAGCACCAAGGACAGGCTGACAGGCCTGTATTTCCTCCAGCCCTTCTTGGGGATGGGCTTTTCATTGACTAACCTCCAGTCATCTAGTACCTCCCCAGTTTTCCAAGACTGATGATAAATGTTATGATTTAAACACAAGCACCTGGTTTTCAGTTTTCTGCCATTCAAATAGTAGTGAAAAATGGCTGTCAATGTCTCCTTTGGATTGGGCTTTGGTCCTTTGCCAGCCTTCTGATTCAGAGAATTTCTCTCTGGGCAGCAAGAAATGGCACCTGGCTGTGCCCTGAACAGTGGGTGAGTGATAGATGTGTTCCAAAGACTAGGTCAACATAAATACTGGAAGTCTTCTTGGGAAAAGAATGATCCCGTATTTTCACAGATAATTTTTACCAGTAGTCTTCTATTCCCGTTATGTAACGCTTGAGGTTTTGGGGGGCAACCTGGCTAGCAACATCTCAGAGAAATGAAAAAGAAATATGGCTGGATGAGTGCATTAGAGCGACCAGTTATAATCTACTTGGTTCTGCAATTCCATAGGGGAATACTAAAGCAGACTTCTGACTGTTAAACCACTGTGAATATACACTGGGGGGGGGGGGGGGGACTAAACCAAGCCAAACCAACCAACCAACAACAAAAACCCAAAAACAAAACAAACAAACAAAAACAAAAACACAAAACACAAAACAAAGAAAAAACCCAGAAAACTTCAAATAAAAGCAGGATCCACTGGCAGGCTTTCTCTGAAACTGGCCAGGTACCTTTCAGTCAGTACCTACGTTAAATGCTCGCCGCCTTTTCCGCGACATCCGGGTTACGGCCGGCTGGCAATAAATGACTGACCCGTTCCATCCAGCCATCAGGGCGCTGCCCGGGTGCGGGCCAGCCTGCCAAGCCCCATCCCCGCCGGATAGAACGCTTAAAGCGCAGAAGGTCCCCGCTCCCATCCGCAAGCTGCGCTGTCGTTTGTCGCCGGTGCCGCTGGATGGCAATGCTGGATAAAGGATCGCAGCCCGCAGCCGGGAGAGGAGGAGGAGGAGGGCGGCTCTCAGCGCCGGCAGACGGACGGGGTATAGACAAGGCACCGCCGTGGAAAGTCCCTGGGAAGAGTGTCCCGCTTGGACGTCAGATCTTTGGTAATTTCAACCTGAAAGAAGATGCTCGAACCACGGGGTGTGATTTCTGAGGCGCCCCGCACTTGGAGGGCTCGAATCACGGAAAACTAATATTTGGTGACGAGTTTTTAAGCTTCGGAAGGAGTGACTGGAGTCATGCATTGGCGCGGCTTGCTAGAAATTGCCCAAGGTTTATATTTAAAAACTCTACTTACACTTTGTAAAAAAAAAAAAAAAAAAACTTTGCAAGCGCGGCATGGCTGGGCTCAATGACTATTCAGTGAACTCATTTGAATGTGCATAGACAGGGCTTGCTTGAACTGCTGCATCAAAGAGAAATGCTGAAATGAGTCATTTGTGAATCATGGCTTATTTTCTGTTGTTAGCTCATCTGGAATCCCATGGTGATCAAACAGCCTTTTACAATGTGTTAATACATCGCTACTCCATGTGTTTAGCAACAGCTCTTTTCCAATAAACTGTAGGTAGTCACCCATTACAAAGGGATAGTTTTTTCCTGCCGCGTGTAAACCGGCCGGGACCAAGTCGGAGATGAAAACATCAGCAAAATTCCGTGCTGTTCCAAACACGGCTGTCCACGCTGCTTCCATTCCAAGATCATCCATGCCCTCTGTCTCCTTGCTTGCAGGGCACAGTCCAGCCAGGAGACATTGCCTGTCAGGATTAGCGCTCCTGCCCTCCCAGAGGCTGCAAGCAAACCACTTTCCGGGCACAGGAATGAAAGAGAGGCAGGAAAAAATCATCCTCGGCAGCGGTTTAAGGTAAGGCGCCCTGTTTTCCTAATTGGTGACTGTTCCCATCCTATGCCTACAGCTGACTGGAGAGATTGGAGCAGACTGTAAGCAATTTCAGGCCTTGGTCGGAGTAAATTTGTAGGGAACAGTAATCGCTCCCTCTTTCTTTTTTTCTTTTCCTGTAACAAACTGAACCAATACAGCAGGTCGGCAAAAAGTTGTCAAGAGTCTGAGGAAGAGGGTGTGAATCCCTTAAGGCTGCTATTGTCATTGAACTCTCCGTGGTGTGAAACCACAGCCTGAGGTGCTGAGATCCTACCAAGAGCAACTGAGGCTGAGGAACCAATTCCCTTGTGCCAGCTTTTTTATTGGAGTGAGCAGCTGGAGATGGAAACGTTTTCAACCAGTACAGCAAGATCCACCACAACCCGTCTGTCAGAGCCCTAAGCCCTGTCTGCCTGTGAGTTACTTAGCCATAAGGGCCCAAATACTCTCTGCCATCATACCTAGGTTTCTTCTGTCACACATAATTGTAGCTCAAAGGTCCTGAATAATTGCATTGCTATTTGGGCTGGTCCAGCCCCCAATAATAATCTTAATAAGGTTACTCTTAACCAGCCACATGAATCCCTTTCAGTTCTCAGTGCAGGCTCAGTCATGCTGCAATACAGTGGAGGAGGCCAGTCACTGTGGGGCTAATTTAGTTTAAAATGCAGCCGGCCCATTTATGGGACAATTTTTTGTTCGTGCTCTAAATTCTTATGCACAATCAACAGCCTGTAAAGCTGGCCAAAGGAACACATTAGGTGCTGCCCATTAGTGCAGGCATTTGGGGCTTACAGCCCTTAGAAGTAGCGTTTGTGCTGTGCTCCCTTACAAGTGGGATGTATCCCCTATTTAGTCAATGGGCCCTGTCATAGGGGAAAAGCACAGAAACTCTCTTCCTGAGCTGCAAATCAATTTCCTCTCATCCCAGGATGAGTTTGACCTCACACTCACCCAGCAGCTTTTGTGACCAGCACTGCCGGCCTTGCAAAATAAAGGAGCACCACTTTTTCTCTGTGAGGGGAGAGCAGAAAATTGAGGTAAGTGAAGGAGTATCACCCTTCTGGTTGTGCTGCCAGGAGCAGGATTCCCAGGAACATGGGGAAAGACTTTTACTCTTGGGAAGGCTCCACATAAGCTCTAGACTGTTACCAAAGCTCAGGTTCCTTAGTGGGTCTAAAAGAAGATTAAATAGTAGCTTGTTCTTAGGTTTTGAAATGCAGCCCACAGCATGCAAGACCAGGTAAGGCACACCAATATCCAGCAGGGGAACAGGCAGCAAGGCAGATGACCCAAGTCCTAACACAGGACAAGTCCCCTGAATTAAGCAATGCCTTAATTGTTTTCTTCAGGGTTATTTTTAGGCTGGCTACCTGAATTCAGCAGAGTGCCTCACCAAAAACTTTAGTGGGGCAACTTGATACTGCATGAAGGAAGGGTAGAAACAAAAACAGAAATGAGGGGGGGAAGCAGGTGGGAGAAATCTTTTGGCATAATTTCCCCTGGTGTGGTTGCCTTAGGGAGCAGATTTACCTCTGACAAGGAAGGTTACAATGGAAGAGATGGTGAAAGGAGTAATAAGCTCTCCAGGTGGGAAATGAAGGCAGGGTAACCACCCACCCATAAATATAGCCAGGGTAGGCCTACATCTGCATTGCCTACAGCTGGGGCCATCTGTCTGAAGGCAGGCACGGTGTCAGGAAAGGAGGGCCTTTTCCAGGTTAGCCAGGTTGAGTGTGAAGCAGGTGATGCTGACTCTGGGGCAAGTGATAGCCTGCCTGTGTTTGCATGCCATATTTTTTCCAGTGACACTTTGCAGAGTGTGTGTTTTTATGTTTTCTAAATAGCCCCAAATAAACACCACACCCCTCAGACATGCCCATTTCTTAACTTGTTTTGAAATAAAGACTGACAGCTGGAAGGCAGGAAAGGGGACAAAGACTTATGAGACTCATTTCTGCAGATCCCATTTGTACCAGGACCTCCAACAGAGTAAATCTTGCCAGAACTCAGGCTGGCTGGATTTCCTTCCTCTATGTCCAACTGCCTGCCACATCCCTGTTACCCTTAGGCCATTCACTTCATTCCTCTGTATCACAGTTGTTTTGAAGATATGGAATGAGTAAATAATGGTAACTACCTCACAGAAAAAAAATGTTTACAATATTTACAATTCATCTTAGGATTTTCCTGAATTTTGGTGTCAAATTTCCTCTACCTCTGCCTTCACCTTTGAAGAAAAATTGATTGTAGTGCAACCCTGATGCAGAGATATAGACAAGTGTTTTGCATGTGTTGCCCATCTAGTTTGTAAATCTGACACTTTGATAGGTTAAGATACATCTTATACTTTTTTCTTTCAACCTGTGGTCTTTAAGGTTCTTTCCAGTCTGGACCTCAGACATACTGGGAGACAAAGGGATGTAGAAAAGGAAATGATAAATGTCCTGACTCCAGGAAGTGGTGTTCTAAGGACATTAGTCACTTTGGATAAAGTTGCCAAAGACGGCAATTCCAACAATCCTCCAGCATCTAAAGGAGGAGAGGTAAGGAGTGGAAATGGCACAGCTCAAATAGAGTCAGACCACCGGGTAACATTGTCAGAGCTCTCCTAGTTTCGAGTGCAGTGTTTCTGCTGCTGGGTTAAAGGAAGAAAACCTCGGGGTTGTTCTTCAGCTGAATTTCCCGAGAAGAAGACACACAGGGGCGCCAAAGTCTTAGGAAAAGAAACCCAAGCTTTAGGCTTTTTCCTTTTTATCGCTTCTGTCTGGCAGGCTCCTCAGCCGGTGCAGTGGGAGGGCTTGGCTCCCTCTTAGCGTTAAGGGAGCAGCTCATCATCCCAAGGCTGATTTCACCTGCAGACGCTCCGGGGCTCCGCAATCGCTTACCCTTGCGCGGTGTAAACAGGCTGCTGCTGCTCATAACTCTGTGCCTCTCCCAGGCTGTCCTGGGGAGAGGTGGGATGTGCCCCGGTGTGTGGGGGGTGGCTCTGATTCCCGTGGGAGGCTGGAGCATCTCTTCGTCCTTCTGGCACGGCGCTTGCAAGCATGGCCTCAGATTTGCTCTGGACAAAGTTCCCAGATGAATTTGGAAAACTGCCATTGTAGCAGTATAGGAATTCCACGCTTTGGAGAATAAAAAGTTTGTTTGTCCAGGGTTCGAGTGTTTGTGTTCCTGGGTGTGAAGATGACGGTCTGAACCTCTGTCTGGTCAGTTTGTCCCCATGAGCTGAGCCTGGTGTGGTGGTGCCTGCAGCTTGGAGTGGACACCAAGGTGAAAATCCAGGACAGCTGTAATGTGGGTGCTCGTCAGCCATAAGCTCCAACCCCGCCCTCGCTTCCCTTTGCCAGAGGGAGGAGGCTGGTGCAAGAGCTGTTTCATCAGCCCTGGCTGCAATGGCATTGTCCATGTAGCGGGTTGGTATTCCTCCAATGGCCATGTGGAACGATTACACCAGATCATCCAGTGCACAGCCTGCTCTTTCACTCACCTCCACATGTTTTACTCCATAGTTCTCAGGCAGGCGGGACATTTTGTGTGGAACACCACATAAACGCAACTGAGCCAAGCAAACTATAACCATAGCATAAGCTGCCATGGGAAAAAAAAAAAAAAAAAGCCATGTTGTTCAGTGGTTTTGTTTTGTCTTGCTCTCCACTGAGTGATATATCTTAGTGACAAGTTGCTGTAGCCACACAGCAATTCTTTTAATACCATAAAGTGTCGTGGGGTGTAGACATGTCCTAGGACAATGGCTAGAGCTGATGTTAAAGGCTAAATGTATTGCAGCTGCATACAAGCTGGGCTAGATTAAGCACTAGAGCTCTGGAAGTTTCTTGTAAAAAAAAAAAAATCACTTAAGAGATTTTTTTGTGCAGAATAATTTTGCTTTGG